GAGGGCAGCCCTATACCCAACGTGGCAAGCCCCATTTGCGCCAAAAAAGGTAACCTCTAACTAGCTAGAAAAGGTCCTATTATCGAGCTAAAGTCGAGCCATATGACTCTCCCGGTTGCAATTGTCGGGTCCCAGCTTTTTGCCGACAGATAAGTCCTTATGGAGGGCCGGAGCAACATGAACAAAGGTCATTTGCATTTTACGCCTATGGAACAGTTGTTATAAATCATGTTACTCACTTTGTTCCATAGTATCATTCATCAACATGTATGTCAAGTTCAGTTAGAGCACTAGCAATCTACCCATATGCATTTAACCCATAGGAGACAAGGAACAGGATAAACAATCACTAGGATATCCTTACGGGTATCAAAATTAGACACATGCAAATGAGTAATTGATTAAAGTGAAATAGGACATCAAGGAAGGCCCATGCTATACTTGCCTTGGTTCACAAACTCGTGCTGGTCCTACTGGTCGTCGAAGAGTTCTTGGTCTCCCATGTTTTCCTCACCGTCTGAACGCGATCAACACAGCAACATACAACATTCCAAAAGCATTCATACAAAGCAAACATTCCTATTATTAGAACAGTACACCAACAGTATTGAAATCAAGATAAAATGTTTGTAAAACTAATCTACGTCTCGCTACGATCACGTCAACGCGAAGTTCACGAAAAACGGAGCTAAAATGCGAAAGTTATGATTTAAACGGGTTTTCTATAGCCATATATTTAATTAAATCTAATCATGACATTAAAAAGTTCCAAACTTGACTAACAGTAGTTCCAACATGTAGCTTATGAAATTACGAAGCTAACGCGATTTGAATGGATCAATTCGGAGCTAAAACGACAATTTTATAAGCGAAACAGTTCAAATGGCATTTCTGTAAATACTGAAAACGTATTTTTTGACTTAAGCCGTGGAGTTTACGTTTTCCAAACGAGATTGCGCATTCGGGAAACTACGCCTTGGACTGCGGGTTCAAATAGGTGAATCCAGGAGGGCTCTTTAGCAAATCTACCCGCGAAGGGGTATTGGCCACTGAGAGCCGTTGGATCAAGATCGGGCGGCACGGATTAGATCTGGGGAGGGAGAAGGAAGGGGTGGCCGGCCGGAACAGAAGCTTCCACGGCGGGGCGCCATTGCCGACGACGAGGAGCTCGCCGGTGCGCGGGAAACTCAGCCCACGGGCCACGGTGTGCCCAACCAAGGCCATGGGGATGATGCGGGGAAGATGGCGAGTCCACCCCGGGACAAAACACAGCCGGGGGATGGCTTGCGCGGCGCCCGCCATGACCGGCAGCGAGGAGGAGCTCGCCGGCGCACTTGACACGGCCATACAGGCCACAAAATGCCAAGGGAAAAGGTCGGGGAGAGATAGGAGAGCGAGAGGGTTCTCACCGCGGGGAAAAGCGAGGACGGGGAAGGCTCGGGGATGGCGGTCCGTGCGGAGGTGAGGACGGCGGATCGGCGGAGCTCTTCCATGCGACGGTTGTGGGGCTTCCGAGGCGTGAACGCGAGAGAAAACGGCGCGGGGGAGCAGCAGGGGCGCGCAGGGGGCTCGACTCCTATTTATCGAGGCTGAGGAGCCGGGGGGGACGCTCCCACGACCGGAGGCGTGGGCGGCGGTTGTGCGCGACCGGGTGCGGGGCGTGCGGGACGAGGTTGAGGACGGCTCTGACGGGCGGGGCCGGGTTGGCAGCCAGCAGAGGCGCTGAAGAAGGCCACAAGGCAAGCGCTGCCATGAAGCTAGACCAAGGGAACGACGGCGGTAGCTGGGCCGACTCCTTGCTGGGCCGCGCGAAGCTGGCGGTTGCGGTGCGCAAGGGAGGAGAGGGGAGCTGGGCCAGCACAAGGAAGGGCCTGCGGGCCGAAACAGAGGAAGGGAGGGAATGGAAGGAAATTTTCATTTTCTTTTTATAAATAAAATTTTCCAATCTCATTTTCAAAAGGTTTTTAAAATCTTTTAGCATTTGAAACAAAACCACCCATCACAGAAATAAATATGCAACAGCATGAATGCATCAACATGTTTCTATCCTTGTATTTTTTTTAATTTCATAAAAAAAATATTATTTCCTAAGTTCAAATTCCCACAAAATGCAAAATTAATCACTTTTCTCCTTTTTCAAAAATATACAAAATTTAGGGTTTTACAGAAACTGGTTTCTAATTAATTTTGAAGGGTATAACAGTATTTTTACGTCTTTTTTAGGAGCTGCTTCTCACCTCAGGAGCTTCTCATTTGTTATCCGTGTGTTCTCCCTCAGATAGAGACAGCAGCAGAGTCCTCGGCCCCTTCACACCCAGCCACCGTCCCCACCTCCACTCTTTCTTCCTCGGAGCCGGAGGACTGCGCCTAGCTGCCCTTGCCGTGCAGAGCTTGCTCCGGCAGGTAGTCACTGCCGACGCTCCCCTGCCCTTGGAAAGCCTCAGTGAGCGTTCCCCGCACCCCTACGACCTCCCCATCTCCCAGAAATCCGGCCATACGCTGCAATTCACACCGCTGTCGCCAACTCCGGCGAACATGAGGTCCCATGCATGGCCGTGCCAAGTGCGAAGCGCGTCCTCCCGCATGAACGTTCACTGTTTTGCTTTGTCCATGGTAATGTCACCGTGTCGTCATGTGTACACAATATACGTCTATTTTCCATTAAAAAATATAGATCGAAATACAACATAAATACACATGTACCCTGAAGAAGCGTCGAGCTTCTCAGTTCTCAGCAAAGGACACGGGAACTTGCAGGGGCACGAAGCACCCCTCCCGCCTCCAAGCGTCGCGACAAGGAGACGGGGCACCACAGCTGGCGCAGCAGCAGCTTGGGACGCACCGGCGCGGCCTCACACAGCCGCGCGGAGCCAGAGCGACGGGCTCACGGGCAGACGGCAGGACGAGGCGAGTGGGGCGGAGGCCGAGAGTGTGACGACAGAGCCACAGAGGCCGCATGGGATGCTGGATGTGGGCTTCGACTGTGCCGTCAGGAGTCGGATCTCTCATGTTTGAAGCTGCCGCTCGCATCGGGTTCACGGCGGGGCGAGGTAGGACGCGGGGAGGGGCCGTTGGAGTTATTATGTGTGGTAGAAATACTAAGCTACCCTTAATTACTTTTTAGGCTCCAGATAATTTTCAAGGGACAACACCGTAACAAAGCTCTTTAAAAATAACAAACAAGTCATGCATGTTAACGTTTTGCATGTGTGGAGGTACTTGAGGTACCGAATATTCATTTTTCTCATTATTGACCGATTTGGTACTATGTTGTCCTTTCTCCTCAAAACTAATTATTAGGACAACACACACGCTCTCTCTATATATATAATGAGAAATTTGTTTCAGTAACCCCGAGATCTTATATTTATTATGTTTCTTTCTAGGTTTTTGTTGAATACTAAAAACTAACTCTTGCAATGGAAGAGAACTGTTCAGAAACTACACCAAGATTCATTTGAATTTTCTTCTTCTTTTGTAAAATGTTCAAGATAGAATTTAAAAATTACTATTTATATTTATAATACTAGAATACTCATACACTTTGTTTAAAGCTAGATTACAATGATCTAACTGGCACAATGCAATAAGAGTAGTGATCAAATTAAGACGATGTAAACTGCTAAAGAAGAGACAGAATAGAGGTTCCTCTAATATGCTAAACGGTAAATTTCTATAGATTACTTTGATTAGGTTTGCAGTGAAAATGTACATGGGGAGATCCAATTAATATGTGTACGGAGCTAGAAAATCTAAGCTAATTCCCATTATGGAGATTTCTTTTTCAAGTGGCACACAAAACAACAACTATATTTTTTGGATAAAAGAGGAAGTTATTAACTTTCAAGAACATTACATCGAGATGATACAAAGCCCTCAAAAATGCCTTCGGGTCTATGCTTGAATAAAGCACACAACCATAAAAAAAACAGAATACCACGCACACTATTGTGACCATCAATACAAATAGTAGATTGACACCCATGTGTTCGGGAAAAAATAACATTGACTGCCAGCGTTAACCATTAATTACCACCATGTTCGCTTGATCGTATCAGCCATGCTTATCAGCCATGATACAGTGTTTTTCTCTCACAACAAAACAGCATCAGCCGGCTTATAAACCACAGAAACGATCAAGCGAACAGGGTGTACGAAGCCACCACAACCAAGAATATGCAGCTTCTGTAGAATACTCCATGTATGGAACCAATATATAACCATGTAGCTAACTTGCAAAGGAGAATAATTATTTTCTTTTCCAAAAACAATATCGTTTTTGCGAAGCTTAATTGACCAGCAAATGGCGGCTCCTCCTAGTAGAAGTGGCTTCAAGTTTTTATTTCCACCTAGTTGCCAAACATGTAATACACTTACAAGTTTAGGAAGACCAGAAAACATTTGAGTAATGGACCAAACTGTGCAAGCGAATCGACAATGAAAGAACAAGCGATGCATTGTATGTCTCATCTCTGTGACAAAAGCAACAAGTTTTGCTACCTTGCCAGCTCCACTGTGCTAAAATAATACTCCCTTCATTCCAGATTGTAAGATGTTTTGAATTTTCTAGATGTATTGATTTTACTATGTATCTAGCTAGACATAAGTGTATATATCTAGATATGTAGTAAAACCTATGTATTTAAAAATGCCAAAGCGCCTTATAATTTGGAATGGCGGGAGTACTGATTTTTAAGAATACTGATTTTTAAGCAACCCATGCTCATGGACAGGTTAGAAGTAATAAGAAGGGTTGCAACTCATTAGGTGAAAACGCCTTTAACAGTTGGAGTTTTCGGAAATTGCTAAGAGGAGTGCCTTAGCTCTTCATCTTCTGAGTTGATCTACCCAGTATTCATTCAAATACAAGTAAAAGGATACATATATAATCGAGTTTATCACCTCATATCCCTATCCATGAAATTAAGCCTGCAGTGCGCGGCCAAAAGGGACAGCCGTGGTCACAATGTAATGTAAGACCACCATCAGGACTGATATATTCAGATCCCAAGTGCTTGCATTAACTCACCAGCGCGTATCGCAGCCATTTGCCACCTCCACGGTTCGAACATGGACGCGATGACCCTGCCCCTCACACCTCCTTCATCCATTGTCGAGTCGGATCCAACAGTGATGTCGTCGGTGCACTTGAGAAGCTTATCAATGTAGGCCTGCAGGTCGTGCACGCAAGCTATGTCACCAGCCTCGAAGAAGTCGAGGGCAACCTCGACGCCGACGTGCACATAACAGGCCTTGCTCCATGGCAATTCGTACCGTCCTGCTAGAACCCTGGCGCCCTCGTTGAAGAGGACCCCGGGCATCTTGGTCACTGGGTCGTTCACGTTCACGACCCGTAGCACCTTCACTCCCAGCTGGTCGCATCGGTCCTTGAACTCTAGGTTGCCAACACGCGGACCGGCGAAGGAGTAGACTGTGATGGGGATGGAGCCATCGCCGTTACCGTTATTAGGGTAAGAATTCAGGCCGAGCTCGGCGAGGTCGTAACCGAGGAGGAGGGGGAGGGAGCTTCCCATGCTGTGTCCGGCGAGGGTGATACTTATCTCCTCGTCCTTGTGCTTGGCAACAAGGTGGGAGATCTCGGAAAGGAGCTGGTTGCGGCAGCTGCCGGTGGTGAACTTGCCGGAGACATCGTCGGAGGTGTAGAGGGAGAGGAACCCCGACTCGACTCGCACGTCCAGGCGGGGGTCACCAGGGTCGAAGCGTGCAGGCGCGAGCGTGCTCATGAAGTTAGCAAGCCACTCCGATCCCGTGACCGTTCCGCGGAAGGAGACAAGGATGTCACGGCGGCCGAGATGAACTGCTTCCCCATCCGACGCGACGGCGACGTAGCCGATCCACCGGCTCTTGCTGCAGGATCGGCCCAAGCCTATGTGCAGCGCCGCCACGTCGGGTGCCGCGTAGATGTACTTGGTGACGGCGTACCCGGCGCCGTGCATTCCCACCGCCTGCAGCATCTGTTTCTTGCCGTGCTTGCAGTTGAGATACCGCTTGGACCGTGGGTCCAGATCGAACACCCGGTAGCACGCCTCCACGAGCTGCGCGTAGCGGACGATCTCAGCACGGAGCAGCGGATGGAGCGGCTCCACCAGGCCTCGCCAGTCGCCAGCGCCTTGTACCTCCTGCCACATGCACGCCAGCGGCGGCGTAACCATGGCTTTGGCGCGGACACCTGCCGGCGCCACCACTTCCGTCGACGCTGCAGCCTCTTGCTTGTGTTGTAGGCTGCTGAGCCTGACGGTGGTCGGCGTGGCGGAGGACACCGCTAGGGTCGTGGAGACTCGGTGACGCGTTGTCGTGGTCGGTGTGCCCGGCGCCACGGCGACCTTCGCAGCGGCAGCCATCAAGCTTTGGAGGGAGGGAGAGATGGGGATTGGGGGTATGAGGCTAGGAGCACAGTGATCGATTGGCACAGTGGCTGTCGCTGGATGTATAGTCATAGACGTGCGGTTGGTCTCTGGTGGAACACAGCGAGGGCGGCGGCGGTTCTGCATGGGCGCAGCATTTGACCGGCACGAAGAAATTTAATTATTATTGACTTAAAGTGGTCGGTACCGGGCTCAATCGGGTGGGACCCGGAATCCAAAAGGAGTTGTATGACGCAAGATTTGCTTAGCACCCACTTTTGCTTTTCAATTTTTCTCAACCATTTTCTACTTTCCCCTCTCACATCTCGAGCCCTCTGCTACAACAAGTGCACGGACAACGCGTCAAGTGGGCCACAACCGCAGAAACTACTACTATAATGACTTATACAGGTGGCTAATCACTACCGGAATCTTCAAATTTGCCGAGTGTTTTTATGTTTGCCGAGTGTATTTCCTCGGACACTCGGCGACTAAGTTCTTTGTCGAGTACTGCTCTAAAAACACTCAGCAAAAGAGGGGGTTTGCCGAGTGCACAAAAAAACACTCAGCAAAAATCGGATTTACCGAGTATAAAAAAAACACTCGGCAAAGAAATAAAATCTTTTTCTGGAAAAGAAGGAGAAGAAAAAAAATAAAAAAAAAACTTGGCCGAGTGCTCAGATCTAGAACACTCGACAAAAAAATAAAATCTTTTTTCTGGAAAAGAACGAGAAGAAAAAAAATAAAAAAAACTTTGCCGAGTGCTAGATCTAGAACACTCGGCAAAGAATTTTTTTCTGGAAATAAAACCCGACCTCCCTCCTCCTTTCCCGCACTGCCTCGCACACCGCCCCCTCCCTCCCCCCGCACACCGCGCGCCCCTCCCTCCCTCCCCTCTCAGCTCCCTCTCCCTGCCCTCCCCTGGTGGCGGCCCTCGCCGGTGCACCTCCTCCTCCCCCCCCTCGCCTCGCCTGCATGGCGCCCCCTCGCCTCGCCTGCGCCGGCCCTCCCTCCCCTCCTCTCCCGGTGTCCCCTCCCCTCGCCGGGCGTCCCCCCTCCTCTCCCGGCGTCCCCTCCTCTCCCAGCGCCCCTCCCTCGCCTCCCCTCCCTCCTCCCGCCCCCTCCCCCCCTCTCATAGATCCGGCGCCCCCTCCCTCTCTCTCGGCGGCGCCACCCCCTCTCCCAGCCCGCCGCCCCTGGATCCGTCCCTCCCTCTCCCGGATCCGGCCCCTCCCTTCTGCTCGCCTCGCACGGTCTCGTGGAAAGGGATGGAGTCCACGGCCGCACTCACGAGGACGGCACCGCCCCTCGCCGGGTCCAATCGCCGGCCCTCCTGCGCGCTGTGGCCGACAGCGTCAAGCTTCTGTATCCGGTAGTGAATGGAGGCAGACGCCTTTACTTGCCTGTCTCCACAAATAAAGGATTTATAGAGGCGGCTGTCTGTCTCCATGTTGCCCTACAATACTCTATGTGGTGCGGGCACATGTGCATGCTATTGTGTAGCCGCATACGTAGGCTCAGAAAGTGGATATGTGTCGCAGCATGGAGATGGGCAAGAGGGCCGTTTCCACTATCATGCATGTAGCCTCGGCAAGTCAGACACGAGGATTGGAGAGCTAGCCATGGGGGACAAATGAAGAAAAAATTGATCACTTACATGTGGGCCCCATATGTATAAAGAAGATAATGCGATATATTTTTCTCTCAATCTACTGGAGCTACCATTCTTTAAAACCAAAAATCATGTTTTCTTATTCCTTTATAGCAAAATTTAAGAGAAAGGGAAAAAGAGATCTCGTGACAATACCCTTATAGCTTCTCAATCCGATTGATAATATAAGTGATCCTCTTTCACTATAACCAGTAAAATTTAAGCTCTAGCAGATCCCATTTCTAATCTCCTTTTCCTATTTTTTCTAGTTCAGAAAACCATCCCCTCAACCCCTTGAAAGAACACATGAGTGGAAGAACAAGAGATTTCTTTCTCAACCCCAATTCGTTCTTACCCTCTCACTAATCTCTAGGGCTTCATGCCAGAAGGGTTGCTGCCGCACCATGCCCCGAGCTCGAAAGAGCATTCCCGCCTACACTTCGCACCACCCATGCTAGGATGGTTGTGCCATGCCCTCTGTCTACTGCTGCTTCACGTGTGTTCGCCATGATGTTGTCAAGATGGGAGAAACGAGAGAAGAGAGAACAGAGGAAGAGATACTTATTTAGTTAGCACTGAATGTGGTTCCCATGTATAATAAAGTGGATGATGTTTACTCAACTTAATAGGGCACTATCCCATACAAACTATAATTCATTTTTCTCAATCTCCTATCATAGATTTTGTGGTAAAAGGGAAAGGAGATCTGGTGGAGATGCTTCCCATCATTATTATCTACTAGTACTAGCTCTATTTTCATGTTTCGCGTATGTAAAAAATGGTATTGATGGATTTGTATTCCACCTTATGCATATCACAACTTTAATAATTTCTTGCTTACTGTGATAGTTTAAACTACCTATCTTTATTTACGCATAATTAAGTCTAGCTAGGTTCTACTATTTGTATATATAGTGTTATCACTACAAATTACCCACACGTAATATTTCAGAAACCATATGACACATGAAAAAAAAAGTTTGATTGATTCCAGTCATCAAGCTGTAAGGAAAATGGACCCTAAGCCCATTTACATTGAATTTTGGTGTTTCATGACGAACACAACCAAATTGGACTAATGAATTTATAAGTAATTATTTTGTAGTTCAATAGGGTGCAAGACGTGACTTGGATGAAGACGGCATGATGATCCGACGATCAACACCATAAGCAAGAGCCTAGAAGCACAAGAGAAGACCCAAGATATCAAGCAAAGTCCAAGCACGAAGATGGGAATCAAGACGGATGCAAGGATCATGAAGAAACGAATAAAGAAGTAGCTCGGCAGAGACGATCGGACGCTGCCACAAAGGCACCGGATGCATCCGATCATTGCCCGTACAACCGCAGTGACCGACGCGATGACCGGACGCTGAGAGAAGTAGTGACTGGACACACATGTGACATTATTCATCATCACAACAACATTCTAAGCGTGATCAGAGGTGACGGCAGGACGACCGAATGCACCAAGAAGTAGCGTCCGATCATATCCAGAAAGATTCCAGAGCGGTGCCAGCGCGACCGGACGCGTCTGATCGATGATGATCGGACTCAGCAGTGAGTCCGATCTCTACACACGGGCTCAACGGTCGGGAGGACCGGACGCGTCCGATCAATGCGTGACCCGTGTCCAGTCGCTAGCTGAAAATTGGGTTTTTGCCTCCAACGGCTAGTTTCGACTTGGGGCTTATAAATAGACCTCCCAACCAGCCATTGGAGAAGTGGAGAGCTGAGGAAACAAACCAAGGGTGTTGATACACCATTTTAGTGATCTCCATTTGCATAATGCTTATTGATTAATTAGGTGATTAGCGTAGGTGCTTTGCGAAGTGCTTAGGTTGATTAGACCACCGCTTATGCGATTGCTTTAGGTTTAGGCCTAGTGTTTAGTGAGGTTTGCACACCTTTTATCACTCGGTGCTTGCGCGCACTATTGTTGTACATCAGAGGGGCTTGTAGTCTTACGAGATCACGTCAACCGCATTTGTGGTGTGGCCGCCACCATGTACCAAAGGGAACAGGGCCCGCGGTAGTTCGTCCGAAACCTTGATAGTGAACACGGCGGGGTGCGGTCCGAGAGAGGTTTGTCGGAAGGCACACCAGTGTCACACCCAATTTTAAGGATAAAATTGAATGCACTAAACTCATGTGTGCCCAGGGATCAGTCACACACATAAGTTGACAAATTATAAAAAGTATCATCACGGTGTACCTTACATAACGAATAATAGCATCACATTGACTTACATAACACAGCGGAAGATAAAAAGATAACTCTCTCGTGGAACTCCATCACAGGGACGGTCGACTGGTTGACCACAAGCCTAATAATCCTCAGGAAACTCCTTATATCCGTTGTCATCTGTTACCCATCCGGGATTTTTATCCAAATATTGAAAATTAAACAAGCGTAAGTACGTCCCGTACTCAACAAGATAACATGGGGTTATGAAGCTCAAAAAGGTCGACACTGGTTTACTGCAGTTAGCACTTTTAGTAAGTCAAGATTTTATCCTCAACTATTATCAAGTTATGCTTAAGCTCCCATTTAAACCCACGTGATCATATATCCGATCCAATTGAGTCATGTAACATCATCATGTTATCATCTTAATCATCTCGTATAAACATCATTATAAGTAGCCATTTATTCTGTGAGTTTTCCGGGCCGCTCGTGACCGTGAGCACGGCTGTTATAACAGTTTGTTACCCTCTGCAGAGGTGGTGCACATTCACCGCGAGTCGTGATCCCCATATGCCCGGGTTAATTACTCCCATGTCACTTCCAAGGTGAGCGGACAGGGTACACTATGAAGCCATTTCATAGGTTTCCCTAACAAGTTAGGGCCGCTAGGTTTCCTTGGCAGGCAGATGTAGGAACCCCCCTTTCCTATGGCACATATCCATCGCGGCTATACACATAGGAACAGAGGCAGTCCTATACCCAACGTGGCAAGCCCCATTTGCGCCATAAAGGTAACCTCTAACAAGCTAGAAAAGGTCCTATTACTGAGCTAAAGTCAGAGCCATATGACCCTCACGGTTGCACTGTCAGTCCCAGCTTTTGCCGACAGATAAGTCCTTATGGAGGGCCGAGAGCAACATGAACAAAGGTCATTTGCACATTCGCCCTATGGAACAGTTGTTATAAATCATGTTACTCACTTTGTTCCATAGTATCATTCATCAACATGTATGTCAAGTTCAGTTAGAGCACTAGCAATCTACCCATATGCATTTAACCCATAGGAGACAAGGAACAGGATAAACAATCACTAGGATATCCTTACGGGTATCAAAATTAGACACATGCAAATGAGTAATTGATTAAGGTGAATAGGAC